ATTGACCTCACCCCTTTCCTAAGAGGTCTGTAGGGGGCGTGCATAAGCGCACCAACGTGCCTACCGTCCCTGTCCTATTGTTTCTCTTATTCTTTTATTTTTCTTATATGTACCCATTTCATGTATTCACAACTATGTATACACTTATACTTATTATCTTGTAAACAATTGGCAAATCAAATAAATAAATAAATAAATAAATAATTTGGCAAAACAAATTATGGTAATAAAAATTGGTAGTACTGACAACATCATATAGAAACCAGCCTTATGCAAATGCTCTTGGTACATATATTTCAATATTATCTATATTTGCTGATATCAATTTGTTCACCAGTTTCAAAGAAGAGTCTTGCTCAGCTCCATCTGGAGATGTTTTGGACTGAAATAGGAACCAATTTGATTCAAATTATTCTTTCTACTAGTTAGTTGTCTAACTAGTCTGCCACTTAATTTTCTGCCACTTAATTTTCCAACATTTGATTATATGCTGCAATGCATTTTTTACATATTGCTTTGATATTCAGAAGAACAAAATAAACATTAGTCTAATATTGCACTTAAAAAATACATCCTTTAATACTAAATTCTACAACTTACTATTCGGCTCCTAGTTGCTGAATTGAAGAACAAGTCCTTGTCCTGAATATAAAAGTCTGAAATACGCTCATTTTCAAATGCAGCAGTAAAAAACTCCTCTTTAGGTTTGATTATATTTTCATCCACATTAAAGAATCTGCTAATCGATGTAAGTGCTGAGTCATGGCTTTTCGTATCATCGGGTTGCAAAGGCAATTTGATGTGCATAATTTCAGCATAACTACACAGCACTTCCCAAGGAGCATGCACCTTTACAAAGGTCAGCTTTTCATCCATGACCTGCAGTAAAAGGATATTGATTATAATATATGGATATTTTAAAAATATCACATCTCAAGAATAATTTTAACATTTCTTGGGAACCACTGAAAGAGCTGATCTTATGACACATAAAATACTTAACTGCCATTTCATAAGCTACACTAATAGGAATTGAGGAGTGAGTTCTGGTGAAATGGATGAATATATATATATATATATATATATATATATATATATATATATATATATGTATATATATATGTTTTCTTAAGTTTTCGCGGGTACTCACATGTATGGTGTTCGGCTTGGTTCGGGTATTTTCCCACGTCATTGTAGTTCTTTTAAAGTTGTAGCAACGTTTCAGCAGAATCTCATCTGCCATCATCAGGCTTCTGTATTGTGTCCGTCTGTGGGTCAGACTTTTACAGTGGTTTCAGATTTAAATTTGGGGCAGCCTATTGCTGTGCCAGAATGGTTTTTTCTTCATCCTGATTGGTTGGGAGTCTTGGTCTGTGTTTATTGGTCTCGGAGTTTGCTGTGTTCTGCTTGAT